GTGTGGCAATGACGTTGGGGATTTTAATCATATATTCTTTGCCTGTCCTCGAAATGACCGTTCCGCTTTTATTTCCTCACTTTTGTCTATTAAAATTCCTTTTCCTACTTCAATTTCTATCCTTTTATCTAATATCAATATTGATGTATATAGAATTTTAGCTAGTTTCATTTTTCATAATAATATAAAATTGTAACCATTTATGTACTTAGTTTATATAATATATATACCTGATCCTTTTTCCAAATTCCGTTCCAATTTCAAATCCAAAAAATAAATCCATTAACACACTTCCTAACCTTTTTGCATGGCTGACGCACAAACCGTGCAGGCCAAGAAATGGGAGAAAAAAAAAACCTCTAAATATCCAGGTTTTGTTCACAATATCGTTAATTCCAGGTTTTGTGCCACTTATTTAGTTTAGAAATACTCAGTGTCACTTTTCTTAATACTGGGATGCAGCTTGCCTGCGGGATTTCACCTCCAAGTATACACTTTTATGTTTTTNTCTCTGGAGTACATTTTAATGATGAAGCTTAAAAAGTCAATAATTTTAACTGACGCTAAAAGTGCCCTCCAAGCCTTGGAAAGTTTTCCTTTTAACAGTAACCGAAATAATCATCCTGTGATTATTGCATGTCGTGATTTATTGTATCAATGTTGCATCAAAAATTACACAGTTTCTTTTGCTTGGATTCCGGGGCACTCGGGTATCTTTGGCAATGCCAAGGCCGATAGCCTTGCCAAAGCTGCGGTCAATGATGGAGATTTGGTTCCGTACAAAAACTTTTGTTGTGATTTGGCTCTGCTTCCTAAATCCCAGTTATTGAATTCTTGGACACACATTTGGCGTTCTTCAAGTCAGACTAAAGGTCGATATTACAGCACGATCCAGGTGGATATACCTCCTAAACCGTGGTATTCAAATCTAACGTTTGGTAAAGCTATCACATCAACCCTTATTCGCATGAGGTTGGGCCATGCATGCATTCCCTTGCATTTGGCAAGGCTTAACCTTTTGCCTATCGATATATGTGAGTGTGGCAATGACGTTGGGGATTTTAATCATATATTCTTTGCCTGTCCTCGAAATGACCGTTCGGCTTTTATTTCCTCACTTTTGTCTATTAAAATTCCTTTTCCTACTTCAATTTCTATCCTTTTATCTAATATCAATATTGATGTATATAGAATTTTAGCTAGTTTCATTTTTCATAATAATATAAAATTGTAACCATTTATGTACTTAGTTTATATAATATATATACCTGATCCTTTTTCCAAATTCCGTTCCAATTTCAAATCCAAAAAATAAATCCATTAACACACTTCCTNCGGTCAATGATGGAGATTTGGTTCCGTACAAAAACTTTTGTTGTGATTTAGCTCTGCTTCCTAAATTCCAATTATTGAATTCTTGGACTCACATTTGGCGTTCTTCAAGACAGACTAAAGGTCGATATTACAGCACGATCCAGGTGGATATACCTCCTAAACCGTGGTTTTCAAATCTGACGTTTGGTAAAGCTATCACATCGACCCTTATTCGCATGAGGCTGGGCCATGCATGCATTCCCTTGCATTTGGCAAGGCTTAACCTTTTGCCTAGCGATATATGTGAGTGTGGCAATGACGTTGGGGATTTTAATCATATATTCTTTGCCTGTCCTCGAAATGACCGTTCCGCTTTTATTTCCTCACTTTTGTCCATTAAAATTCCTTTTCCTACTTCAATTTCTATCCTTTTATCTAATATCAATATTGATGTATATAGAATTTTAGCTAGTTTCATTTTTCATAATAATATAAAATTGTAACCATTTATGTACTTAGTTTATATAATATATATACCTGATCCTTTTTCCAAATTCCGTTCCAATTTCAAATCCAAAAAATAAATCCATTAACACACTTCCTAACCTTTTTGCATGGCTGACGCACAAACCGTGCAGGCCAAGAAATGGGAGAAAAAAAAAACCTCTAAATATCCAGGTTTTGTTCACAATATCGTTAATTCCAGGTTTTGTGCCACTTATTTAGTTTAGAAATACTCAGTGTCACTTTTCTTAATACTGGGATGCAGCTTGCCTGCGGGATTTCACCTCCAAGTATACACTTTTATGTTTTTAATAACGAACAGATACACAGCGATGTTTACGACACGAGTACCGGAAACGGAATTCCTAACTAATACGGAGCTTTTATTTCTGTCTCATGCGTCTCCGTCCCTGGCCCGTCGCGGCGTCGTCCAACCCAACGTACTCCGATATTTAAATCACCCACGTCTCGCACCACTGATTCCTTCAATCGTTTTAGTATCTACACGTATTACGCAGGTACGCCTGCCCATCACAAATGACTTCAATCACTCATTCATTGCTTTCGGATACTTCTTGCGTATTTATTACTACACTAGAAATCACACAAATATTATTCACGTTTTTTTCGATCAATCTCGAATACAAATAAACATATACACCGTTGTAACTATACTGACATCTTAGAACTTATATCTCAAGGTGGGTGGCGCATTCACGTGGTAAATGTCTATGGGCTCCAGTAACCACTTAACACCAGGTGGGCTGTGAGCTCGTCCAACCATCTAAGCAATAAAAAAAAAACAACAACATTTCAAAATTTACCTAATAGTCATTATACTAAATATTGGATCTTTCTAAGCGAGAAAGCTATAACAATATTACACTGTTTAGTAATATATTCATTAATAGTGTACTAGTGCTCCCGCAATAGTCGAAATTCGACTATAATTAATTTAAATTATAAATTTGAACATTATTATGGTTCTATTCTCAAAGACTTATACATAATTATTCACAGATTTCGCCAAGACATATAATAGACAAATAATATTAAAGACAAACAATACTAATCTATTCTCTATTTGACCACAGACTTTAAAATAATAAAAGTTCAACAACAACCAAAGTATACATGTATTTAAGTGTGTGTTTGTCAAATAGATGGCAGTGTGTGTAATGTTTTTTTTATTGATTTAAAGTGTTTTTTATGCATAATTTAAAAAAATATTAACATTCTGCACTCCTTCTGTATATTCTATATAGGTAAGTGTGTGAAAATTCATACTGCTCCGTCCGCGCAATTTTCGTAAAAAGGGGTACAAATTTTTGCTTCACGTATTAATATATAGATAGTATTTAGTATTAATGGTCAACAAATAAATAAATCATTCAGATCCTGCAGCTCTAAACCGTCGTCAAAGTACTTTACGACACTCTTATCATGAGCATACAATATAATGAATTTCGATTTTTGAAGTTATAGATACTTCTTTAGGCGCGTTGACCGTGACACAAAATGAACAGAATGAAGCTGCCCACTAAATCGCTCATTACAATACGACCGACGTAGCTTGGCGAGTCTGAATATAGCCGCAGGTGAACTTTCCGAACCGTACCGAGAATTATCGAATTTATACGATGTCAAGAAAAGGGATGTCCAATATGCGTGTTTGAGGATGTTGTATAATCGTTTTTTTTTTAAATTGATTAAAATTTAAATAAAAAATAAATATATAAATTTAATAAAAATAAAGTATAACTTCTTACGCGCGTAAGTAAGTACACGCACCCTTTTTTTTTCAACATGTGAAACATCATTATGGTATATGACGCGACACGCCACCTATGTACTTACATAGTAAAATATTACATGAATCGAATATCAAAGTCAGTGAAGGTTGCTATTTGTTGTCGTCATTGTCACGTGGGGAGACAATGTTGATAAACTTCGTTGAATGGGTACGAGCAGGGGGAGTCATCTCACAACAGACATCCGTCCCCATCCTATTCATCTGTGATTAGTTGTAATTTGTTGTCATAAAATCATTAAAACACTATTGATTTGCTACCTGTGGTATTATTTTACATCTCAACAAAATAAATGAAGATGGCGGAATATCTGATGATCACAACCCTGTAATATATCTATATTAAATAGTATAGGACCGAGATAAGAACCCTTTCAACCTCCTGAAGGGACAAGTACAAATGAACGAAAACCTTTATCTGTGACACCCTAACTACAATCTATGTGATAGCTACGATCCACGTGAGCTATCACAGAGATATCGCAGCAAATCACCCTGGACTTCAAGTTTGCGCAGCTTCTCAATTGAAATTTAAAAATTTAAATCAAGAATAATCGGTGTACCAGATCACGTCAACCTTATGACCATCCTCCGTGGTGTTTAATATATAATCCAATAACGCACCAGAGATTGCTCCTAGCTTATATGCCCATGCTGTTGCTCTATATAATGAACCCTTATCATCGGAAATAAGAAATTGTAAATTATGCGTACAAACGTTAACAGGAATGGCATTAGTTCTAGATATCGCCCTTTAGTTTGCTCGCTGCATTATGTTTATCTAATTTTTATAAAACTGGTACAACGAATGATCCTCTCCAAATAAGGGGCATACAGACAGTTGATAGCGAGAGATTGAAAAGAGAGTGCAGTGGATAACAGCAGTGAACGTAACATTGTCGCAGAGAAACAGCTGAAATACCATCCCAGCCAGAACCCTACGAATATCAAGAGATTTCAGATATTGTTTGACTTTATCCACAGGAATAAAAAAAAGACATATCTACATAATCAGAACGTAGGCTTATGGGATGATGATGCTAAAGATATTATATGGTTTAGTGAATAGGCATTTTGATATTACATAATTCCTCCAGAAGACTCCGAAGGATATGCTGGTGGTCAGCAACACCACTTTTTACATCATTAATGGGCGAGCTTACTCTCCCAGAGCTAGGTCCACCGCCTGGTGCTGTCATTACCGGAGCCATAGACATCGCAAGGTGAATGCCACCAGCCACCCTGAGAAACGATGTGGAAGTCTCTAATGCATCGTGTGTAATGGCAGAGCGACCCCGCAACCGGTCCGACCGGCGGGCTACTAACAATAATACCTATCTATAATATCTAATTCCGGTCCGGCGTCCGACAGGTGGTGGCCGAGGGCGCTCTGTCTCTGGAGCGCGCTGAGTTTGCTGGCTGTGATTGCACACACAGGTACTTATTCTACTTAGTTCAACCATTTGAAACATGCGCCGTATTTTTTTAAGTTTTTTTATGGCTTAGATGTGTGGACGGGCCCATAGACAACTACAACGGAAATGTCGCCACCAACCTCGAGACATGAGCTGTAAGAGTCTCACTTTTAACAGTACAATGGCAGCCCTGCCCTTCAAACCGAAACGCATTACTGCTTCACGGCAGAAATGGGGAGGGTGGTGGTACATACCCGTGAGGACTCACAAAACGTCCTGCCACCAGTAAAGTATTATAAATTATAAATACAGCATTACAAATGACTAGCTGTTATCCACGATTTCGCTTCGCGTGATTGACGGAAAGTGTCCGTGTGAATAAAATAGGTTTTTGAGATAAAAGGTGGTCTATGTCACTCTCCTCACTTAATACTGTCACTTGATGTCATGTCAGTCAGTCCGTTGCTTCGGTTCAACATGAAAGAAGCACAAACAAACACACTTTCAAATGTATCCTATCAGTAGGTATGGATCAACGCGTGAAAACTTATAATGTATGTATCGTGTAGACAGTGATGACGTCCCCGAAGTAGTAGTGAGTGCTGTGACGCTGGAGAGAGACGGAGCGGTGCTGGCGGAGGTGGTCCGCGCCGCCCTCAGCCGAGCCGGAGTCCACGCCCGGGTGTCTCCGCCGGCGCCCGTCTGCTCGCGGCCTGACTCCAGCGCCTGCCTATACGCTACGCTGCGAGACCTCGTGCGCGGCTCGGTGACGGCGGCATTGCTGCCCGTGGGCGCGCAGCTCCCGCCCGCGCTGCAGCTGCGAGACGCGGGGCTAGAAGAGCTAGGCGATGCGGCCTCCCCCTCCCGACGCACCTGCCTCTCCTCCCCTCCTGCCCGATCCCTGCTTGACCTCGCCGACGAGGAAATCGCTCGTCTCTACTACGTCGCGCCCGACGTCCTGGGCGAACACAATTATACCAGGGTGTTAACGTTTCCTAAGTGAGTGCGCCACATTTCATTTATATACGTTAAAAAACTGGCAAGCTTTGTATATTGGCACCAAGGACATCCATAATCATTTGTAAATTAAGCACTATTTTACAACTCCATATGAAATTAACTTTTCACAATTTCAATTTTTCTTAAATTAAAATAGCGCAGTTTCCAGTGGCCCTTGAAATGGATAAAGTGAGATCATTTCGTTGCCTACTACTTTGTCTCGAACTATACCATTTTATTTATTAGTCATATTACGAGTATATTAGTACTGTGTACGCAAAACCAATCAACATTAAGTTTATACTAAAAAAACTCATGTACACTAACTATCATGNTCACAATTTCAATTTTTCTTAAATTAAAATAGCGCAGTTTCCAGTGGCCCTTGAAATGGATAAAGTGAGATCATTTCGTTGCCTACTACTTTGTCTCGAACTATACCATTTTATTTATTAGTCATATTACGAGTATATTAGTACTGTGTACGCAAAACCAATCAACATTAAGTTTATACTAAAAAAACTCATGTACACTAACTATCATGTCCACAGTTCAACTTGCAAGATCGGAACTCGTTCCAATGCTAACCAGAGCTGCACTCAAGAAACCGGCTTTGCAACTATTCTCTCAGACGACCCTGACGAAGCGGCGCTGTTGACTGAAGTGGTAGCCCAGTGGGGACTGAGGGCACGAGTGGTAACCAGGAACGCTCACAACACCGCTCTGCCTCCTCCCGCCCTGCGCTGCACCACCACCGCCCTCCGCCGTCTCCGTCACTTCACTACCGCCGGCTATAGACCTCTGGCACCGCCGCCTTGTACTGAGACTCACTGTCCCTTCGAGTCACGGCGACTCGTCAAACTCGTCAACGCTCGCCAGCTGACTCGCTCACCCAGCGCTTACAGGATCCTAGGTCGGATCGTTTTTGAGGAACAGGAATTGGTCGAGCTCGCCGAACGATCCCATACGGTCGGGCCTGAGATGGCGGCTCGTGAATTCGTGGAGTCTCGGCCGCGCTGGGCATCGCCCCCGGCCGAGGTGCGCGTTGCCGTGATCGTGCCCGCCACCTCGCCCCGCCAGGTGCAGGACGCGCGTGCCCTGCGAGCCGCTGCCGAGCTCGCGGAGAAGGACATCCTTGAGACCAAGGGAACGCTGCGTTTCAAAGTAGAACTCGTCGATGGCGGATGCGCCGCAACGCCTGCTTTTAAATACCTCACAGACGCGCTGGGCACGGAGTACGGCGCTCTGTCAGCCGTGGCTGGACCGGCGTGCGGGGCCGCATTCGCGGACGTTGCTCGGCAGAGTCCAACGCTGGCCTTGCCGTTGCTCGCGTACACACCACAAGCTCCTCCATCGGACGGGGGGGGGCATCTGGCGCTCCTAACGGGGGGCGACGCGCGGCTCTACACGGACGCCTGGGCGACTCTACTGAATCACTTCGGGTGGCGGCGACTAGCAGTTCTCAGCGAGCTTTCTATGCGACCTGCACTTGAAGTTTCACGTCTGCGCGTCGACAACATATTGGTGCACGTCGAACTCACCACAGACGCAGAAGAAGTGAACTTGGAACTTATCAACGGCGTGAGTTTATAAATAATAATCTAAACGAAATACCTATTCCAAAAAATAAACGCCCGCTGATTGCAGTACCTATTTATAGTACGTATTCCTATCGACTATATTCTTGAAGTTTCAAAACCAAGTGATAACAATTTCTACTCAATCATGCTGCCTACTTGTATCTCAAAGCAGACATATCTTCCGCCTTCCTGTATTGATTGAGAGTTGGGCCTCAGGTCTCATGGTAGAAATTGTCATGGCTGTGCCCCTGGGAATACCGAGGTCCATGAGCCGGTGATCACTCACCGTCGAGTAGGACGCATGCTCGTCTATTGACGATCGGCGATACCAAAAGGATAGCATTCGCATTGTGTTTTCTAGATGACTGACCCCTGCAACTACTCACACTAATAAATAAGATCAAAAAGCTGATGTAGGAAAGCACAACAGCACAGCCACCTGGGCCTTTCCCAGTCCAAGGGCTTGAAACATCCTCTAATGCAGCGGTGAACAGTTTAGGAGAAATAACATCTCCCTGCTTTACGCCACACTGCAATAGGATGGGTTCCGAAGCCCGGTCCTGTAATCGGACTAACAAAATGGCAATTTCAACAAACACTTCAACATTTCGATGTGCCGGAGATGAACTTGGCATCGTTGGAGAGACTGCACTACAGCCCAGGTCTCGATCGAATGGAAGGCTTTTTCAAGTCCACAAATGCTAAGCAAAGCAGCTTGTTATATTCTCCGGTCTTTTGTACAGCCTGCCCCAGCAAATAAGCAATTTTAGAAGTCGTCGTGGCCTAAAGGATAAGACGTCCGGTCCATTCGTATGAAGCGATGCACCGGTGTTTGAATCCCGCAAGCGGGTACCAATTTTTCTAATGAAATACGTACTCAACAAATGTTCACGATTGACTTCCACGGTGAAGGAATAACATCGTGTAATAAAAATCAAACCCGCAAAATTATAATTTGCGTAATCACTGGTGGTAGGACCTCTTGGGAGTCCGCACGGGTAAGTACCACCACCCCGCCTATTTCCGCCGTGAAGCAGTAATGCGTTTCGGTTCGAAGGGTGGGGTAGCCGTCGTAACTATACTGAGACCTTAGAACTTATATCTCGAGGTGGGTGGCGCATTTACGTTGTAGATGTCTATGGGCTCCAGTAACCACTTAACATCAGGTGGGCTGTGAGCTCGTCCATCCATATAAGCAAAAAAAAAAAAATTGTGGTCTACGGTACTATAGCCTTTTCAGAATCCGGCTAGTTCGGGTGACTAACTATTCTCAAACCAAAGCGCGAGACGGGTTCTAATGACTCCCGAGGATAATTTATATACATGGCTCAGAAGTGAGTTTGGTCTTCAGTTATTCAAATAATAAACAATTCTTCAAACGGGTATTATCACTCTTTTTTAAAGAATAGTTTTACGACATTTCTGGTCCATGTCTGGGGTACATTCCATCATTACCCAGTGCTCTGTTGTTATTAAGCTGTTTGAAAGCCATTTTAAACTCGCACAAATTGGCGCCCGGGATATCTTCAGTACAGTTTCGAGCCGATCTAGTCCTAGGATATATTCCTAGGTTTTCCGCGGTTTGTCGAGTAGATATGTACCTATAACTATCCATATAACTTCCCAAAAATTCAGGTTTGTACGAAATGGCAATATCTTAGTAATAAATAAATAAAAAACACAAACAAAACCTGTAAATATTATAATTTTAAACTTTTAATCTAAAAGAGCACAGGCGTGGTTGTCATGAGTCACACGCATTAATTACCATGAAGTTTCAAGTTGATCTGCTTGTCTGTTCACAGTGGGCGGAGCGAGCAGCACGAGAGAACGCGCGCGTGCTGCTGGTGAGTGCAGAGGACGCGCGCGTGGTGCGGGCGGCGCTGACCGCGGGACGGCGCGCCGGGCTCGCGGCCTGCGTGTGGCTGCTGCCCGCGCTGGAGCCGCTCGGGTCGCTCGCCGACGGACATTTCAGCTTCGTCCCAAGCTGGTTCCTCGACTGGAAACCGGACTCTACGACTGAGCGTCGCCGATGGACGTCGCGTTGGAACGAGCTATGTGCGCGGGGCCCGAGGGGTGGCGGCGCGTGCCTCTCTCCACCGGCGACCGCGGCCTTGCTGTACGATGTGCTTCAGCTCTGGGCGGCCGCGTTGCGCCGACTGCTAACCTCGCGCCCGGCCTCCCTCGACGATCTGCACCGCAAAGATGTAGTTCAGTGAGTAAGCGCATTTTTGGCACAAAATGTATGGTATAGAATATTTTATTTCACATTGGCAAAAATATTGTTGTATTTCGTTTTCATAACAGGTTTCTCGTCGAAGACGCAACGAAAGCCAATTACAGTGGACTCACTGGGGTATTCAAGTGGACGACAGCAGATGAGTCGAAAGCCCGCGTCGCGGATTTGTTATTGCTTCAGTGGAACAACGGGACAGCACGTCGCGTAGGGCGCTGGCACGACGGCGTCCTCGTGCTCGACGACGGTGCGATACGGTGGAACACGACAGACGGCCGCGCGCCCGACGACGGCGCCGAGCGATGCGCGCTGCAGCCGCTCGCGGACCTCCTGCGGGCTGACTGTCGCGTGGCTTTCGTGACCGTGGCCACGCTCGCCCTCGCGCTGGCGGTGAGCGCGCTGGCGGCTGGTGCCTGGCTCTGCAAGCGACGCGCCGAGCGGGAATACCGCGCCCGCCTCGCCGAGTTAGGCCTGCGTGCGCTGGTGCCCGAGCCGGGCGGCCTCGACAAGTGGGAAGTTCCCCGCGAACGTGTCGTAATTAACAGGAAGCTTGGAACTGGTGCCTTCGGCATGGTCTACGGAGGTCACGCGCTGCTCGCCGAAGATAGAGGATGGAGCGCGGTTGCCGTAAAAACCTTGAAAGCGGGTGCGACAACGGAAGAAAAACTAGACTTCCTCTCGGAAGCGGAGGCTATGAAACGGTTCGAACATAAGAATGTGGTCCGTCTCCTCGGTGTCGTCACGAAAACGGAACCCGTGTGCACAGTGATGGAATTCATGCTATACGGGGACCTGAAGAACTACTTGTTGGCGCGGCGCCACCTGGCGGGCGCGGGCGGCGCGGCGGCCGAGGAGGTGTCCCCGCAGCGCCTCACTGCGATGGCGCTGGACGTGGCTCGCGCGCTGTCGTACCTGGCGCAGCTGCGCTATGTGCACCGCGACGTCGCCGCCAGGAACTGTCTCATCAGCGCTAACCGCGTCGTGAAGCTGGCAGATTTTGGAATGACTCGACTTGTGTTCGAGAACGACTACTACAGGTTCAGCCGCAAGGGGATGCTGCCGGTGCGCTGGATGGCGCCGGAGAGTCTCGCGCTGGGCGTGTTCTCCCCCGCCTCTGACGTGTGGTCATTCGGCGTTCTGCTCTACGAAATAGTGACTTTCGGCGCGCTGCCGTTCCAAGGGCTCAGCAACTCAGAGGTGCTGGCGCGCGTGAAGGCTGGCCATACGCTCGACCTCCCCGCGGGACTGAAGCCGCAGCTGTAAGTATTCAGGTAGCAGACTGTCCAACCGGCTGCGATGACCATGGAATAACCCAACTAGCTGACGGCGACCAGATGAAGTCAGCGCTGTTGTGAACTCAAATTACGTAAATTTATTTACTCGTGCTCATTAAGTCGCCGTTTTTTCGTTTTTAATGGCCCTGGTAGACAGACAAGCATGATGCCCAACTGATGGTAAGTGGTTACCGTCGTTCATGAAGATGTGAGTTCTAAGGTCTGTTTTTGCAATACAACGGCTGCCTCACCCTTCAGACCGAAACGCATTACTGCTTCACGGCAGAAATAGGCGGGGTGGGGGTACCTACCCGTGCGGACTCACAGGACGTCCTATCACCAGTAATTACGCAAATTGTAATTTTGCGGGTTTCTTTTTTATTACACGATGTTATGCCTTCACCGTGGAAGTCCATCGTGAACATTTGTTAAGTACGTATTTCATTACCAAAATTGGTACTTGCCTGCGAGATTCGAACACCGGTGCATTGCAAGATACGAATGCACCGACCCTTATCCTTTAGGCCACAAAGACTTCATAACATCAACGTACTCTTTGCAATATCTTTGATCGTCACTCCTGGACTACGCTCCGAGAAAGACTGATGGCCGATATATCGCGGATTCCCTGTGCCGTCATCCGCATAACAATGCATGCCATGTCATCGATATAAAGGATGAGAGCGTGGGGGAGAGCACAAAGTCTTGTGGAGCGCCAGTGCTCATGGTCAGAAACCGTACTGACGGTCACTGATCAGCTGGCGATTCTAAAGATACACCTTGGAGAGCAAGGAAGTTATCGCGATAGATCGGCAACTCGAGGAGTTCGACCGGTCACCCTTCTTGGGGATTGGGTGGAAAGCGGTCTTCCACGAACACGGAACCTAGTTAGTGCTATATTATTTTGTTTTTTTTTTTGTGAAATATTTGTGGTGCAACATGTAACTGTAGTGAAGGTTTCCGTAACTACACCATCGACATAATGAAAAACCTGATAAAAACTGACATGTGTGTTGACGAGGCTTCTTAATGTTACAAACCAACCCTCAAACCACCACAAAAACAATAACATATTTTACCAGACAGATAATACGTGAAGTACTAAATTAATAAAGACAATTATCAATATTACAATATTAATAATAAAGACAATTAATTAAATAGAATTGAAGATAAGAAATCTAACTTCATTCGGTTTCAGTGATTTGTCTTGAGCACGTTCATCATGCTAAATAATCCCTCTACGTCAACGTTAGAATGAAATGTGTCTAAATCTTGAAATCGGTTTTCTCCAGCCGTATCTTTGAAATTCAGTACCTCGTACCAAAATTCCTTTGTCTTTTGGGTATTATATTTTTCCAAGTGAGTAAATTTTAGGATTTGACGCCACTGCTCGTCAACTTTCGCGACATCTTACTTTTTATTAAAATACAGCATCAGGTCAGCGATCGGCTCTTGATTGTGAGATAGCGCATAGTGCATGATCTATAATCTATACTAATTATTTGAATATCTTTCATGAGCTTCAAGTTTTCGGATAACCTGTTTTTCAGTTCACGAATCAAATGTACAATGAACTAGATACACCTACTCTTCATTCGGTAGAAGCCCTTTTTCTTTTATCGTTAGCACATGAGACTCGAATCTGTACCCCAAATAAAATTTATTGCTTACAAAATCTTGAATATTTGGCGTAAAAATATCTACTTTCTGCGTAGGCAATATTATTTTGACACTAAGTGTATCAATCAAATTTATCAATTCATCATATGGTTTTGAATAATCTGTTTCTTTTGACTCAAATAATTTATGAACTCTGTTAACATCAGATACATTAATGCATAATTGACGTCATCTGAATACATTCCATGCAGCAATTCTGCTGTGTAACATCTTTCTTTTAATTCGGCGTCATTGAAGTGTATTTTCAGCTCCGACCATTATGTATATGTGTTTGGCAAGATTGCACAATTTTTAACGGATCATGATCGTCAGCTTGTCTTCAAGAAGAACGGCTGAAACAGTCATATGTTTCTTTAACAATGAATTCGAGATTTCTGAATTAATATTTAAATTGTCCTAGTGGTTGATGTTCGTACCTCACCAACAAAAAAAGTCTCGCCACTAAAATCAAAATTTGTCCGCTGAAAGGCAAGTCCAAACCACTAAATCTAATGGAAATTCCACTTCTTCTGTTCTGTTGTTAGCGGTGTGTTTGCTCAAATCCCGAAGCAAGCCCTTATATTTTTATTGCCCCTCTAGGTAAATGAGCATACGGCCCACCTGATGGTGAGAGGTTACCATCGCCCGAGGACTCCAGCAATGCCAGGGGCAGAGCAATCCTCTGCCTACCGTAAGAAGACATTCACTATGCTGTCTATAGTGAATACAAAAAATAAAAACTAATTGTCTTTGCTTTGCTTAAATAAAACGCCGTATTTTAATTTTAGCAACTAATAAATCAAGGCCATCTATTAAGTTTGTCTACATAATAATATAGTTACCGATCGATTTTATAGATGGCGCTTAAATTAAAATTAATTAACTGTATTACCACTTAAGTTTTTTTTATCCTACCTAAGCTGGTAGCATTGAGATGCTATGCCAGCATGAAGCTGTTTTTGTAAATTAGAACTAGGAGTAAACGTTATATTTTAAAGTAAAGTATGTAGGTACTCTTATATTATTATTTATTTTAAATCTTATTAAATACATAATATTTTTTTAAAAAGATATTAAAAATACAATTTTAAAAAACACTATAAAAATAGATTGCCGCTGATGGCGGTGTCTACGACACAAGCCACTAGTAGTTAGGACTCCAGAGTGAGAAACCTCCTCACAATGCGTGTAGTATCAAGGATAACTGCTTTCTGTATTAGGCCCTTAACCCAGCTGGATAACGAAAGTTTCTTAAGATGTTGATCGAAACTTTTCGCTATCAAGCCGTGTACCGACACAACTATTGGAACAATGATGATTGAATCAACATGCCACATGGCGGTAGTCTTGTGGGCCAGGTCTAAATATTTTATTAATTTGTCCTTTTCTGCTTTCACGAGGTTCTCGTCATGAGGAACGGTGACATCAACCAACACTGCTCGACGCGCAGATCGATCTATTATCACAATATCAGGCTTATTGGCAACAATATACCTATCCGTGATAATAGATCGGTCCCAGTAGAGCGTAACATGACCATTATCAAGAACTGGTTGAGGTTGGTATTGGTAATAAGGTACAGCAGAATCAAGAAAACCATATTTAAGAGCAAGTTGTTGATGGATAATCCTAGCCACTTGGTTATGTCTATGCAAGTACTCGCCGTTAGTAAACCGAGAACAGCCAGAAACAATATGTCTAATAGACTCTCCCGGACGGTGGCATGCCCGACAAATGTCGGCCGTCCCATCCTTTAGTATATATTTCCGGTAGTTGTTCGTCATGATAACTCCGTCCATAATTGCAAAGATAAAACCTTCAGTTTCCCCAAAGAGGGTACTGAATCGTAACCAGGCCACGGAAGCTAATTGGTCTACATCAGGCCCTGTGAGAGCCCGGTAGAACCTACCGTGTAACTCCTTGCTCCTCCATACGGTTATGCGATCTGACATACTCTCTACCTTCGGTCTCTTCCAATTCCCGTTAGCTAAGGATAGTGGAGTTAGCCCCTTATCGACTGCAACCACATCCCGCTACATATTCACGTTCATCTTAAGGAAATATTCCCTAAGGTTGTATATCTCTCGGTTATGTAGATCCTTGGCATTCAAAATACCACGACCCCCACATTTCCGAGGAATATACAACCTCATTACAGATGAACGTGGATGATGCATTCTGTATGCCGTTAACAATCGCCTGACTTTTCTGTCCAGTACGTCCAGCTGATTGCGTCCACCTTAATATGCCAAAGGAATATGTTAACATAGGCATGACCCAACCATTAAACGTTCGGATTTTGTTTCCGCCTGATAAATGGCTTTTTAAGACCTTTATAAGACGACCAAAGAACCGATCTCTAAACGATTGTTTCATATCTGCGTCAACAATATTCAGCACTTCAAACATACCAAGGTACTTGTAAGTTTCCGATTCACAAAGAGACTTGAGGACCACACTATAAATAAATAAATAAATATAAATATTTACTAACAATCACGCCACGTTAACTGGTCCCGTGATAAGTTCGTAAAGAACTTGTGTTACAGGTACCAGATAACGGAAATAAATGTAAGATTTTTATTATACACATACATAATATATTTTATATACATCCATAACCCTGGAAAGACATTTATATTTATCATACAAATATCTTCCCTTGGCGGGATTCGAACCCGCGACCCCCTTGTGTAGTGACCATGTCACTTACCACTACACCAGACGGCCGTTAAAGCCTGGTTAAGTAGTAAGCAATCTGAGCTTACAACTTTACCTCTCTGTACATCTATGAACGCACATTTATCAACACCAAATTCCATCCCAATGGCTTTACTAAAACTGTCGGTTATTTTAAGTAAACTCATTATGTCTGGTTTTTTGAGAAGCAAATAATTTGAGATCATCCATGAACAAGAGATGTGATATAAGCTCAGCTCCTCTGCGAAGTCGATAGCCTAGCGTAGAATCTTTAAGTAATGTACTTAAAGGATTAAGCGCCAAACAAAACCANTATCAACACCAAATTCCATCCCAATGGCTTTACTAAAACTGTCGGTTATTTTAAGTAAACTCATTATGTCTGGTTTTTTGAGAAGCAAATAATTTGAGATCATCCATGAACAAGAGATGTGATATAAGCTCAGCTCCTCTGCGAAGTCGATAGCCTAGCGTAGAATCTTTAAGTAATGTACTTAAAGGATTAAGCGCCAAACAAAACCAGAAAGGACTCAGACTGTCGCCCTGAAAGATACTCCGCTTAATCCTTATTAAATTCGAGGCAGCAGAAGAAGTCATCTGACCTGGTTGACTAAGAAACGTAAACCATTGACCCATGCATGAGCTAAGAAAGAAGCATAGAATGGGATTTATTTTATATAGCTCTAAAACTCTCATTAGCCATGTATGAGGCACAGAGTCATACGCTTTCTTATAATCAATCCAAGCCATATGAACATTTTTTTTTATTGCTTAGATGGGTGGACGAGCTCACAGCCCACCTGGTGTTAAGTGGTTACTGGAGCCCATAGACATCCACAACGTAAATGCGCCACCCACCTTGAGATACAAGTTCTAAGGTCTCAAGTATAGTTACAACGGCTGCCCCACCCTTCAAACCGAAACGAATTACTGCTTCACGGCAGAGATAGCCAGGGTGGTGGCACCCACCCGCGCGGACTCACAAGAGGTCCTACCACCAGTAATTACGCAAATTATAATTTTGCGGGTTTCATTTTTATTACACGATGTTATTCCTGCACCGTGGAAGTCAATCGTGAACATTTGTTGAGTACGTATTTCATTAGAAAAATTGGTACCCGCCTGCGGGATTCGAACACCGGTGCATCGCTTCAACACGAATGCACCGGACGTCTTATCCGTTAGGCCACGACGACTTCAAAGTGACTTCAACGAACATTCCTCTTACCTCGCCGAACTTGTTGGTCATGTCAATGAGTAGCAAATCTTTTGTACCTCGAGACCCTGCCTTACACCCATTCTGATTGGGTGATAAGATCTTAACGAGTCATGTGTTCGTTTGCAGTGTTTGTTACACATCATGAATGTTGCGACTATTGCGAGGCGTGTGTGCCGCGTGTGTGCAGCTACCGCGATGGGGCTCGTATTCCTTAATTAATAGTATTTTTATCGTGTCCATAATGATCAAAATGATACAAATGCAGTGAAAACAAACACTAGTCAGTAAACTAATGAGTAGATTTTGAAAATAAAAGTCATTTGAATTTTGAATGTTTTGCCAGCCCTACATAAACTACATTTCAAATAACCAATAATGTAATACGGCAACTTTATATGTAATAAATACCTATTCTTAGTCATCCGACACACACATACTATATTCATTTTGTATACTATACTTAGTCTGGCCATAAATACTGTTACAATTAAAAATAAACAAAATATTACATTTGAATTTGGAATCTGTCATTTTTATATGATTGCTCATTGAGTTTTCTCATTTTGGTGCCAATTCATTGTACAATATTTTGCGATATTAAAATGGAGTGGGGTGATAAAGGGAACCCAATCGCTGTGATTGCATTACACAAAGTAGGTATGGAGCCGAATGCAATTTTTAAAACTCTTCATACGCTTGGTATTAGTAAAATGTTTGTGTACCGGGCTATTAATAGGTGTAATGAGACTTCCTCTGTTTGTGACAGAAAAAGATCTGGCCGTCCACGTAGTGTTCGTACGAAAAAGGTGGTCAAAGCAGTAAGGGAAAGAATTCGAAGAAATCCTGTCCGAAAGCAAAAGATTTTATCTCCGGAGATGAAGATAGCACCTAGAACCATGTCGCGTATTTTAAAAGATGACTTAGGACTTGCAGCCTATAAGAGACGTACTGGTCATTTCTTAACTGATAATTTAAAAGAGAATAGAGTAGTAAAATCGAAACAACTACTGAAACGGTACGCAAAAGGAGGTCATAGAAATTTTTTGTTGACGGATGAGAATCTTTTTACAATTGACAACATTTTAACAAACAAAATGACCGTATTTATGTTCAAAGCTCTAAGGAAGCTTCCCAATTAGTCGACAGAGTGCAACGTGGGCACTATCCGACTTCAGTGATGGTTTGGTGGGGTATTAGCTATGAAGGAGTGACTGAGCCATACTTTTGTAAAAAAGGTATCAAAACATCGGCACAAGTGTATCAAGATACCATTCTTGAGATGGTAGTGAAGCCCCTTAACAACACCATGTTCAATAATCAAGAATGGTCCTTCCAGCAAGACTCGGCGCCAGGTCATAAAGCTCGGTCTACGCAGTCTTGGTTGGAAACGAACGTTTCGGACTTCATCAGAGCTGAAGACTGGCCGTCGTCTAGTCCCGATCTTAATCCGCTGGATTATGATTTATGGTCAGTTTTAGAGAGTACGGCTTGCTCTAAACGCCATGATAATTTGGAGTCCCTAAAACAATCCGTACGATTGGCAGTGAAAAATTTTCCCATGGAAAGAGTGCGTGCTTCTACTGATAACTGGCCTCAACGTTTAAAGGACTGTATTGCAGCCAATGGAGACCACTTCGAATAAGCTTTTTATACTTTAAATTGTTTTATATTTATGTATTAAACTAACACACTGTAAAAGTAATAAATGTTATTTGCAATAGATTTTTTTTTCCTTTGTAACAGTATTTATGGCCAGACTAAGTATGTATATAATATATTCACTATGCTATTATATACTATATTTATTAATTTTATACATATTTTTAGTGGTGATAGGACCTCTTGTGTCTGCACGGGTCGGTACCACCACCCTGCCTATTTCTGCCGTGAAGCAGTAATGCGTTTCGGTTTGAAGGGTGTGTGTAACTATACTTCGCTTGTGGCTTTGTTTTTGTTCACTGAGGTGGTCGCTTACAATTTCATTTTTCGTCGTACCTGTATGCGCCATTTTTTTTTAATTAGTGTAGGTAGAAAATCTGGCTCCATTTTAGGCCTCGTCGACTATATAACAATCCTCGCCGCCAGTACATCCAGGACACAATATAGGAATTGTACTGATAAATAAGACGAGGTAGCACGATCTCTACGAACGGATCACAAAGGACTACTACAGACAGCAGTTTTATAAAGTAGTTAAGTTATCAAAAACTAAGTAGATCGATAATATCAGTCGATTCCGCAGGGAGGGCCTGATGAAGTCGTGCTGGCAGCGAGAGAGGCGCGCCCGGCCCAGCGCGGCCGAGGTCGCCGCCTTCCTCGCGGACTGGGGCCGGCTGCTGACGCCCTGCACCGACGCGCCTCTCGACGCCCTGTCCTTCGACGGCGAGTGGCGCGCGCGGGGCTCGTGGGCCACACCGCTCACCGACACCACCTACCTCAGCGCCGACCTGCCGCGCGATACCGACGCCTTCCTGCCATCCTGACGCTCTCTCCGCCCTCGACTCTTCGTCCCTGGAGGATGGGTGGCGCGCGCGAAGCTCTCGGGCCACACTACCTACCTCAGCGCTGACCTGCGCCCTCAAAGTCACAGCACGAGGTTTGTCAAATCTTCTGGTCTAACTTTAGTATCATTTATTTTTACGTAAGTAAGTAATAATAGTTATAAATAAAAAATAAAACCAATTTGTTTTAAAAGTTTTGATTAGTTTTATTTTGAAGCATCACCCTATAAAGTTAACGATTTTATTATTATATCAAGTCGACGATACAATAATAAAATCGTAAACGATACATCCAATAATCTGTATTGTTGATGAGAGTTTTATGCCATTGATGGACAGACAGTGAGGTAATAGAGTAAGATCCCAGGGCCACTAGACGTCACGTATTTTCTGACGAACAAAATGTGGCCGATTGCGTAGTGTCAGTATGTACTAAGAACGCATATATTTTTTTTATTGCCCTTGTAGGCAGACGAGCGCACGGCCCACCTGATGGTAAGTGGTTACCGTCACCCATGGACTTCAGCAATGCCAGGGGTAGAGTCGGATCCATCAGATCCAATAACTCTTGCATTAGATGTCTTCAGCTCTAACACTAGGAGCAGGCTAAAGGACCCCGGTAACCGTACTCGTCAAAGAGTTCGACGTGCAACCTAACCTATGCATCGGTCCACTGAGTTTCTCGCCGGATCGTCTCAGAGGATCGCGATTCTGATCCGGTAGTAGATTCATTCGCGAAGCTGGCTGAGCCTTTGCTCGCTCACCTGTCCTGGTGAAACTGAAAAGGCCTCCGGGCCACCAGAAATCCTTAAATCATAAAAAAAAGTTCAACAGAGCAAAGCAACATCGCATGCACACAAAATTCGTTTACAAACGGGATTCCAGTAGCCGCTTTTACTCATACGAGTGTCCACACCTAGGAGACACGCAGGGTATGTGGGACTTGAGGGTCTACAGAGGCATGGAGCAGACGGCGGATCCAAGATATTTTTAGCCGGGGTACCACTGGTATACGATAATGCCCCTCTAGACCAAATCCAGCCTGCCAGGTCAGAACGCGATACACCGCCAACCAGCTGTTCTTACGCAGCAGTTCCGTAGAACTGCTTCCATGCAGCGCAGAGGGCAGGTAGCGTGCCGAGCGGCCTCGTCACATTAGGTCGCCCCGTAACATTCACCGAGGGAGAGGACGCCTTCTACCACCCCAGCCATGTGCGTGAGCGTGTGCTCGGCTGTGTCCTCATCGTAGCCACAGTGGTGGCAAATCATCGTCGGCTCCCTCAGGGCCACGCAATGCAGGTACCGGCCGGAACACCCATGGCCGGTGAGCACTTGCGTCAACCGGAAGGTGAGACACCCTCAGGCGCGACCGGGCGCATCACTTCGACGGTCCGAAAACCGGCCGACGGGTTCGCTAAACCGGGAAACCACACTACGAATGACGCAACTTTAATCTTTAGGAATTATTTTAGTAGTGGTCAATAAATGGTTCAGGGCGTTGTCGGAAGTGAGATAATTAAATAACACAAGAGGTTAATGAGAGCGTTTATTCGCGACTGAATTGGGGGGTTGATTACTTCCCACTTCCGTAGGTTTAACCCGCGATTCCCTACAATTGACCCCTGGGTGGTGCTAAACGGGAGCCGAATACATAATCGGTTGTAGGACTTGTCCGAATGGCAAGCAACCACCCTCCAACTAGAGTCCGCCGCTAAATAGCCTAGCTGTGTTCCGGCGTGTGGGTTGGAGAGCCAGTTCTATTCCCTCCCTTTCCTCTTCCTTGTTGGGAGTGAGTCTTGATGATACCTGGAACATGCGGAGCAGACGTGTGTGCGAGCTTGCGGGACGTGATTGTTTGACGGGGGTATAGGAAGACCCAGTGAAACGGTTTTCGCCGCCGCCCGCCGGCCAGTAGGGGACCTGAACCTGGGTGTCACTACTAAACTCCGCCCTGGGTAGCTGTCCCGCCAACCAGTGTAAAATCCTGTCGTGCGGTCGTCGTGCCGGAGTCGGAGACCGCAGTGGATCCCGGCGATCGTACGCAGGTTGGACTGGGGGCCCTTCCATGCCCTGCGTCGGTCTCTCACGCAACCCGTGATCGACCACACACTATGTTCCGCGCTTTATTCAGGTGTTGTCATGATTTCACTTCCAACATCCTACCTCACCCTATCCCACTTTCCAAAAAAGAACAAAACATGAAAATCAGAAATTCCATCTCCAAATCTGGAATTCCCATTGTTTACATAACAAGCTGTGTCCCTACAAATCATATGGGTCCCTACATTTCAACTAGTAGGTATAAAACGAAACGCTATAAATAATAAGAACACTATAATTTTTAACGATAACATTACAAGGAAGGAAAACCATCCAGTTAGAACTGTAACCACACACCGCACACCGCACACCGCACACCGCACACCATCGGAGCGGCGGCCGCGCCCGCTACTCCCGCTCCGCAGTTGCCAGCGACGGAAGGCGCTATGCAGACGCGTATGCTGCTACTAGTGTGGCTGTGCGCGGGGCCCGCCGCCGCCGGCAGCAGCTGCGATGCCCTCGCCGCGGAGTACGTCAACGGTATGAGCTTACTGACCTTAGCCCTCGCGCTATTCTAATAAAAGCATTAGGTCCATTCTTATCTACTAATTATCTTCGTCGAAAATGTAATGTAATGTAGTAGAGTAATGTAAATGTAATAGTTTTGAATTCGTACTTAAGACTTTTTATTTAATTGTTGTTTGGCACGTCCCCTAGACGTCCACGCGTAACCCTAGCGCGAGGTTGCCTGAATATCAGTGTTTTATTTGGAAAATAATTTGCGAGAATTATTATGATGACGAATGATAAAACAAAGCCCTACAGTAGGTACTGCACTAGTAAGGTTATTTTTATGGACCGTGAGTTTCTGTGTCTGGTAACTGTATCGAAGAAAATAAAAATAAAAAAACAATGACCTGTATATAATTTCAGGCGCAATGCGTACCCCTCGGGTGGTGAGCGTGGTCGGTCAGCTGAAGAACGTCTCGGTGGTGTGGAGCGCGGAGCCGGCGCGTGCGGCGGGCGCGCTGCTGGGCGCCGTGCTGCGCCACGCGCTGGGCTACCGACGCGTGCGGCTGGCCCGCTCGTCGCCCGCGCTGTGCGAGCTCGAGTGTCGGCAGCACGCCGCCCCCGACCGGTCAGTCCCGGCTTCGAGGGCCTACTTACTCTATAAATCGTCCCAAGTGTTCAGTACAGATATGTTAACTCACATTCGCGCCTTACTTAGTCTATTTTATCCTGTAACAAAATTTATTCGTAAATAAAAAGTAAAGTGTTTACTTTACTTTAAAAGTTCGTTGAGAAAAATTTTCAAAGATGCTATTTTATTGATTTACATGTACTTCCCAAAGTCCACTGAAGGTGAGACTGTAGGTGGGAATAAAATGTGATTGTGTTCCGTCGCGTCGGTAGCGAGTAATTCAGCTATATCTCCATTGAACTGTAAGTTTGCCTCTTTCCAGTTCTGTCATATTTCTTCACGAGAACCTTCTGAGAATTTAAGGTGAATATACTTTAAATTATCTTATGTGGTTATCTTTCTACATCATAAAATTAAAATAAAAAACATAAATATAAATTTGCTGCAGGCGAAGGCGCAAGCGCAGCTAGTGTGGATTAAAAAGAAAATGTAGACTCGCTTGACTTGAACTTTGACTTTGCTGTTATGAAACAAAAAATATAAATAAATATTTGACTGCACATTCATAATCATAGGCTTAGTCTTCGAAGGCTCGTAATTTTTTTCTGGTATTTTATAAATATTCCGGCGCGAATGGTGCCGTGTTGTTTTTACAAACGATGACGTCAGTGACGTGGTCGTCATTCTTTTCATCATTGTCATTGCCTTCCAGTGACAGTAATGGAAACTTACTTTTCCACACAATTCCTGTTGTTGATTTCAAGTCTACAACAATAACAACAGAGAGCTCCACACCGTTCGGCTGTTTGAGCCGGAATGTGTTGTTTTTTGTTTTTTTCCCCCTACCTATGCTGATAGCCTAGAGAGGCTATATCAGCGTTATCCTAGCGTGTAGGTGAGCAGCGGTCGGTCCGCAGGGTGGAGGATTCTCGTGTCGCTATGTCGTGCCGCTTTATCGAAGTGGTGTTAATAAGGCTTATCCTCGTCTAACTGTAAAGTGTGACGCTACAATTTTAATGCTTGTACTTGTTTCTCTTCTCTTTGTACATGATTGGGAGCCCGCGGTTGTGACTGCTCGAGGTAGCCGCAGGTTCGATACTATTGTTCTGTGGAAAAGAATAATTACGTCGGTGACACAACCACCAGGACATTTTTGATTTGCATCTCGATACGGAATCTCCTGGTGCTGAACAATTAAAGACCCTTCGTTTTATTTTCTCAAAACTCTTCCAATGCCACAGTCTGTGATCGCTACACATAACACACACTTTCTCTTTGGCCTGTGTAGGTATGGCAACGTATAATGCATTTTTATGAGTTTTAGAACTTTTGTATTTGGCATGACTATCTCCTGAAATCGAAATTTCGTATTAAAAATATCTTATATCGATGCGATACAATAACAGCAGAAAGACATGTCATAGCGCTCAGGAAACAGTAGGGAGAAGTTCGTTCCGGAGCTGGATGCTACGTGCTAAAAAATTTTTATGGAAATGCATTGTGGATAAACTCTGTGCGGTAGCGAGCGGTGCCACAGTAATCAACGAGATGATGAGATTATCTCAAACAATTCCTCAGAGCACAACATAATTATATGGTAGAAAACAACACAGAGAGAACCGAAGGCCCTCCGTAGGTTCATAGGTACTCTCAGAAGTTTTCGCGAGCAATAGACATGTAGACCGGCAGGCGGGCGCAGTTTGCAGGTGGTCCCCGCCGCGACGTCGGGCGCAGAGTGTCGGCGGCGGCGAGCGCTGCTGTCCGTGGGCCGCGCTACCGCGCCGCTCTCCGCGTCGCTGTACGCGCGGCTCAGCGGCGCGGCGCGCGCTGACCCCGCGTGTCGCGACGCTCGTCTGTGGACTGCCTACTCGGACCCCGCTCAAGCTGTATCTTGTCAATTTCTACTTACGTGAGTCACGCCTCTATTCGACACATATTTTCGGAGAAAAATGAAACTGAGTAGTCGTATTATAAAGGAACATGTGCCCAGTATTTAACACGTTCACGCCGGGGCGAATATCTACGTTTTTTCGTCTAAGGCGGGACTGTATCTCCTGTATCTCCTTACGCTGCGTGGGGCGGGGCGACACTGTTGCGAGTTCGAATGCGCTTAATGCAAGATTGCTATAGTTCTGATATAGTGATTTTTAGCACACATTTCTTACATCAAAATGAAATAAACTTATTTTTTGTTTTTAACTTATTGTCGGAAAACAAATGACTCACCTGTGATGCACGCCGCCCCACAGAATAGTCAAGTGTTCCCCACCGGTGGGTCACGCGAGCGTGAACGTGTTAAACCTGTGTTTCAGGATACCAAGACAGAAATGATCGCAGAGATATATAGGTAGTTATGGAACACACCACCTATACATATACTTAGTCTGGCCATAAATACTGTTACAAAGAAAAACAAAAAAAAATCTATAGCAAATAATATTTATTACTTTTACAATGTGTTACATAAATATAAAACAATTTAAAGTATAAAAAGCTTATTCGAAGTGGTCTCCATTGGCTGCAATACAGTCCTTTAAACGTTGAGGCCAGTTATCAGTAGAAGCACGCACTCTTTCCATAAGAAATCCAAACCCAAACTCCAAATTATCATGGCGTTTAGAGCAAGCCGTACTCTCTAAACCTGACCATAAATCATAATCCAGCGGATTAAGATTGGGACTAGACGACGGCCAGTCTTCAGCTCTGATGAAGTCCAAGACTGCGTAGACCGAGCTTTATGACCTGGCGCCTAGTATATACCTATTATTATATACTTAGTCTGGCCATAAATACTGTTACAATTAAAAATAAACAAAATATTGGACAAACAAACAAATTTGAATTTGGAATCTGTCATTTTTATAATATGATTGCTCATTGTGTTTTCTCATTTTGGCGCCAATACATTGTACAATATTTTGCGATATTAAAATGGAGTGGGGTGATAAAGGGAACCGAATCGCTGTGATTGCATTACACAAAGTAGGTATGGAGCCGAATGCAATTTTTAAAACTCTCCATACGCTTGGTAGGTATTAGTAAAATGTTTGTGTACACTGCTATTAATAGGTGCAATGAGACCTCCTCTGTTTGTGACAGAAAAAGATCTGGCCGTCCACGTAGTGTTCGTACGAAAAAGGTGGTCAAAGCAGTAAGGGAAATAATTCGAAGAAATCCTGTCCGAAAGCAAAAGATTTTATCTCGGGAGATGAAGATAGCACCTAGAACCATGTCGCGTATTTTAAAAGATGACTTAGGACTTGCAGCCTATAAGAGACGTACTGGTCATTTCTTAACTGATAATTTAAAAGAGAATAGGGTGGTAAAATCGGAACAACTACTGAAGCGGTACGCAAAGGGAGGTCATAGAAAAATTTTGTTTACAGATGAGAAAATTTTTACAATTGACAACATTTTAACAAACAAAATGACCGTATTTATGTTCAAAGCTCTAAGGAAGCTTCCTAATTAGTCGACAGAGTGCAACGTGGGGACTATCCGACTTCAGTGATGGTTTGGTGGGGTATTGGCTATGAAGGAGTGACTGAGCCATACATAGGCGGCACTGACAATTTCGGGAATTAACGAAGTGACACAACATTACTATTTAAAAATGTATTTATTGCTTTTCGAAGTATTCTCCGCGAAATTTGACACATTTTTCCATACGATGGAACCAATCATTGAAGCAACCATTCCATTCGAAAGTTGGGGTCTCCAAAATGGCGGTTTTGTAGGCGTCCACAGCTTCTTCAGGTGATGAAAATCTCTGTCCACGCAATTTTTTCTTTATTTTAGGGAAAGTATAGAAACCATTAGGGCTTGGATAGGGGCTGTACGGCGGATGGTCTAATAATTCTATGTTTTCTTGCTCTAAAAACTCTTTTGTTCTGTGGGCGGTGTGAGAACTCGCATTGTCGTGATGGAGGATGATGCGGCGGTTGCAGTTCTCTTTACGGAGTTCAGAAACGACCTGTGGCAAACAAATGCTAGCATACCATTCTGCATTAACCGTTCTTTGTCCCTCAAGAGGAATAGTCGTAACATGGCCGGTTTTGGAGACAAACGTGGCCACCATTTTTTTGCCACACTCCGTGAACGAACAATTTTTGTTGGCTTTAACTCATTTTCGAACACCCAAACTCGTGACTCGTTTTTTGTTTCGGGTTCGTACGCGTATATCCAGGATTCGTCACCTGATACAATGTTGTATAGGTACAGCATTTGAGGATCCTGCGTGGAATCTTTCGAGAGTTCTGACGCATCAAGTAACGCGAGGCGCTTTTTGCTCTTCACAGAGCAAATGCGGTATCCATCGGGAAAACAACTTTTTTACACCTAATTGTTCATGCAAGATTATTTGTTTTTGACTCATGCCAATGTCTAAAGTTGCCTGAGTTTCGCGCAATCAGCTTACGCACAGCATCAACGTTTTCTTGGGTGACTGCATTTTTGGACGACCTTGACGGGGATCATCACTGAGCTTGACACGTCCACGTTGAAACTCAGCAAACCAGCGATAAATTGTGGTTTTGGATGGGGCTTCATCACCAAATGCAGAAATCATCCGGTCAACACACTGTTTTTGTGTTAAACCACTTCGAGTCATAATAAGTCATCGCTCTTGAATTTTCTCGAGTCAATTCCATTTTCTCAACGACTAAACAAGTTTGACAAAACCTCGTGACAAGACCGAGAATCTTTTTTTAAAATAAATAAATGGTATTCGATTTTTAAAACCAAGGAGTTTTCAATTAAAAAGATTTTAATATGACAGGAACAGTGGAAATATTCCATTCCCGATACTTTTAGTGCAGCCCTCGTACTTTTGTGAAAAATGTATCAAAACATCGGCACAAGTGTATCAAGATACCATTCTTGAGATGGTAGTGAAGCCCCTTAACAACACCATGTTCAATAATCAAGAATGGTCCTTCCAGCAAGACTCGGCGCCAGGTCATAAAGCTCGGTCTACGCAGTCTTGGTTGGAAACGAACGTTTCGGACTTCATCAGAGCTGAAGACTGGCCGTCGTCTAGTCCCGATCTTAATCCGCTGGATGATGATTTATGGTCAGTTTTAGAGAGTAGGTACGGCTTGTTCTAAACGCCATGATAATTTGGAGTCCCTAAAACAATCCGTACAATTGGCAGTGAAAAAATTTCCCCTGGAAAGAGTGCGTGCTTCTACTGATAACTGGCCTCAACGTTTAAAGGACTGTATTGCAGCCAATAGAGACCACTTCGAATAAGCTTTTGATACTTTAAATTGTTTTATATTTATGTATTAAACTAACACACTGTAAAAGTAATAGATATTATTTGCAAAAGATTTATTTTTATTTTTAATTTTAACAGTATTTATGGCCAGACTAAATAGGTACCTATATTATATGAGCTACATTAACCACACACGACAGTTAAACCGTGCTCAGTACCTATATCTATAATATTATAAAGAGGAAAGATTTGTTTGTTTGTTTGTATTGAATAGGCTCCGAAACTACTAAGCCGATTTGAAAAATTCTTTCACTGTTTGGAAGCAACACTACTCTCGAGTGACATAGGCTATAATCTTTTTTGAAAAAAATTAGGGATCGTTACTAAAGCTCCAATAATGTAACTCAAGGTGTAAAAAAATTACCTAAAATATTCTTTACATCGCATGCCCTGCTTAAACTATTGATGATAAAATAAAATAATGTACTACGACTTTGTAGAACACATTATTATTTACAAAAAATGTCGCGACAGCATATGTCAAACTATTATAGTTATGCTGCAATAAGTGTTCTTTTATTTAAAAAAATAAAACAACGTCAAATATCGTTGAAATTTTTGTTAAAGACCCGAGCGGAGCCGAAACGGGCCGCTAGTACCTATGTTATATAACCATGAGATCCTGTACCAAGCAGTTAATTTAATTTGAGTAAGATCATACCACTAAGATACAAATGAACTCTTAAAACACTTGATGGAAGTACGAATGAGGGCTGTCCTTTTCTCGTGAGTCAGCCAACCGAACCCCCTATCTAAGGCAACGACATGATGTTTCTCATCGACAGATCGGGTCGAATAGACATATACACGACCGCCGAGGTGCGCGACGCCGCTGAGCTGAGCAGCGTGGTGCAGCGCGCCGCGGCGGCCGAGCTGCGCGGCGTGCTGCACGTGCTGTCCCGCGCCGAGCTGCACCGCCGCATCGCCACCGACAACGCTTCTTTTCTGATCTTAGACTACAAGCTGTGGGACGATCACGAACTTCTGGTCCCCGTTAGTTTTCCGGCCCGAAGTTGCGGAGAAGACGTGGAGAGTACCCGGACGGAGTTCGTCATTCACGAAGAGCTCGAAGCGTACGCTCCGATACTCTACAGCGTCGCCGAAAGGTTCGACCCGACGCCGCGGGAAGTGCGCGCAGTGCTCGACATGGCCGCGCGGCGGGGCGACGGCGACGTCGAGGAGGCGGCGTGTCAGTGGGCTGCAGAATATCCCATCAGATTTCAGTCTTGGATTCCTCAATACGACGACGACCATCATGTCTTAGTATTGCTGTGCAATGAACGCGACAATTACAATTACACACCGCTCTTCCAATTTGTCATACACAAACTTCAACAATATACGGGGCAATTAAAAATCAATATACTAATAAAAGATGAGTTAGTGAACTGTTCGAATGCGGACGATCCGCACCAAGTTTTAAACAACAAGACGCGCATGTCCAGAATATACCGCTGCATCGGCGTGGCGGCGGGCGCGGCGGACGCGGCGACGGTGGCGCGGGTCGCCCGTGACGCCGCGCTGCCGCTCGTGCTGTACGACACGCCGGCCCGGGTCCCGCCCGGCACGCGCTCGTCCGCCTGCAGCCTCGCTGACCTCGTCACTGCCATCGAGCACTTCATCGTCAAAACCGGTTGGCGACGAATAGTAACATTATCCGAGCGAACAGAGTTTGCGGAAGCTTTCGTCTTGGCTCTAAGGTCGAGTGTAAGTTTGATAACGAAAGACATAGACTTGACCGAGAATGTGACCGAAGCGCTGAATACGGTGGAAGAACTAGACGGGCGTGTCATAATAGTGAACGCGGGCGCCGATCTGACAGCGGCAGTGGTGCGCGAAGCCGCGCAGCGCAGCTTGGACGAGCGGCGAGGGATGGCGTGGCTGGTGCGCGCCTGGGCCCCCGCGAACCCTACACCCATTCCACTGTTCTATCTAAGATGCGGATGTCGAAAGGCGGAAAACCAGTTTAACCACCCGAACGCCGCTTCGCTCGCAGACGCGGTGCTGACCCTTGGGTACGGATTCGCTGCTGGTTTGATGCAGGATTACTCGGTTCGAGATGATCCAGCGGGAAGAAATCTGGAGTGAGTAATACTATGCACAAGTCCTATAAATTAGCAATCAATTAGTTTCCTATTTTCTGTGAAGTGAAAGTATTGATGTTTTTCTGCACACAGGCGCTTCTGGCAGATTTCGGACAGTATCAGCGTCGATGGCCTCTGTGAAAGTATTAAATATGAGGCGGCAGCATTGGCGAAGTCGACCGTGCTCGTGGACAAGCTTTCAGTCAACGGGAATTCAACATTAGGCATATTGATCGTGCGTGACGGCCGAGTCAGTTCTGAACCAAACGAAATGGAACCGTACGGGCGGGATGGTGAGGTTCCCTACGACGGACGCAGCAGGTGCAGCATGCCGATAGGCGACCCGTTCCATCCGCATTGCCTGGACGCACTCTGCGTCGTGGTCGGCATTCTTCTAAGTCTCGCTGTTCCGTTGTTGCTGATGGCACACCGTCACCTGGCTTCTGTTATTCGGCCCGCTAAGCTACCACCCGTCACTCAGGAGCTAACACGTTTCCTGGTCGATCCCGCTCATCTCGTGACGTACGACATCCTCGGAACCGGTAGATTCGGCCGTGTTCACCTGGGCGTATTACAGGTTCCAGGAAAAGCACCTCGCCCTGTCGCCGTCAAGTCCCTTCGGAAAGGCGCCGCTCCGGCCGAAGAAACTGAATTTCTGAATGAAGCCGTTATTATGGCGGCACTCGATCACGAGCACATTATACGCTTCGTGGGCGCGTGCGTCGCGAAGGGGCCGCCACTCGTGTTAATGGAGCACGCCTTTTTCGGAGATCTCCGAAGATACTTGCGCGAGAGGCGGCACTTCGCCGAGCAATCTGACCATCTTTCACAAGACTCGAAAGATTTCGAAGAGAGCGAACACGTGTCGGCCGAGGCGCTGACCCAGCTCGCTTCGGAGGCGGCCCTCGCCCTGGAGCACCTTGCGCGACGCGGCGTCGTCCACCGAGACGTCCGCGCCTCCAACTGCCTAGTGGACTCTAGGCGACGACTGAAGCTCGGCGACTTCGGCATGGCGCGAAAGACCGATGCGACGGGCGCAGACGGAGCGGCCGAGTACGCGTGCCGGCGACGCGGCCTGTTCCCGGTGCTGTGGATGGCGCCAGAGAGCCTGAGCCGCGGCGCGTTCTCGTCGGCCTCGGACGTGTGGTCACTGGGAGTGCTGATGTTGGAGACAGTGACGCTGGGCGATCGGCCCTACGGCTCGTGGTCCCCACTGCGCGTGCTGCAACACGTGTCAAGCGGCGGACGACCCGAGCTGCCGTTCGGCGCGGCGGCGGAGGCGCGCGGCGTGGCGAGCGCATGCTGGCGCCGAGCGGCGTGCGAGCGGCCGGCGGCGGGCGAGGTGGCGCGCTACTTGCGGGACCACCCCCGCGCGCTGCGCCCGGTGCTGCGGTCGCGCGTCGCTCCCGATGCCGACAGCGGCTTCGGAGAGTCCGATCCGCCTTCCCCATAGACATAACTCAACCAGCGCATTTCTAAACCCTCGAAAAACGTAATTACAAAGATTTATTTACTTATTTATTCAGTCAGAACGCTACTTCGACAAAGCTGCGCGACACGAAAACCCTCTCATGGGCTCAGTGGGCTCTAAGCTTAGCCTTAGGCTATGACAGCGTTACTGACCGAGTAGGTGAGCTCATGGGGCTCTAACCTGAGGACGTTGCTAGCACTAGCCCTTACGAGAGCATTGCTTCGCAGAATCTACCTCAGAATCGGAACGCTACCCATTGAGAAGATCCGGCAAGAAACTCAGTGGGCTGTGTCTGTGGGTTCGTTCTTCCTTCGTCGCAAGCGACGGGTTCGACAAGAACAGTGACCGGTGCTTGAGATACCTAAAAGCACCGATAGTGGATCGGGAGGATCCAAAATGACGTGACGTGTTGTGCGACAAAAGTAACTCATATATAGTAGAATATATAGTAGAATAGGTTAGTTTGTTCACTAATTTTCCTGAGTACCGTCTTAATAAACAATTGTTGACTTCCGTTAGACCTGTAAGCGGTAACCAACAACTTTAACATTGAGGAAACAGTTAACTCTCACAAATCTTAGTTAACTAAATATCAAGGTTGCGCCGATATATTATTATTATAATATGATATAAATAACACGTGGAAACTCGATTAGGTACTTATGGCTCGTGTATTCGTCGACGACAACACGTAGACTCGTTCAGCGATGTGTCATTAACATAGTACTCATAACTGTGGACCTTTCTCTTAACAATGACCTTAAAGAAAATATTAGTGTCAGAATACTAATAAATTCATATGCAAGTAATATATATATTAATACGTGAAGCAAAAAGTTTGTACCCCTTTTTGCGAAAATTGCCCGGACCGAGGAGTATGAAATTTCCTGTACTTATGAAACATAGAGAAGAAGTGCAGAATGCTATTTTTGTTTTTTTATTATGCATAAAAAACACATTAAATAAATAAAAAAGCATTACCCACACTACCATGTATTTGACACAAGCATACATAAAAATATACCTACTCTTTGTTTACTGTCAATTGGGAAACTTTTGTTGGAACGAAGTTCCTTATTGCGCGTTGCGAAAGGGGGCTAGACGGAAAAAATTAAGACAAAAAGTTGTAACGACACTTTTTGCTATAGCTGTAAGCCGTGCGGCGTGCGAGTGTTTCTCGGTCTGTCTCTCTCTCTCTCATAGCCCACTGAAGTTTCTCGCCGGATCTTCTCAGTGAGTTGCGTTTCCGATCCGGTGGTAGATTCTGCGAAGCACTGCTCTTGCTAGGGTTCGTGTTAGCAACGTCATCAGGTTTGAGCCCCGTGAGCTCACCTACTAGCCACGGTTACGCTGAAATAGTCTCTCAAGGCTATCAGCTTAGGTAGGAAAAAAAAAAAAAAACTCGTAGAAAGCAAGCGTTATTCTTTTATTTTTTTTTATTGCTTAGATTGGTGGACGAGCTCACAGCCCACCTGGTGTTATGTGGTTACTGGAGCCCATGGACATCTACAACGTGAATGCGCCACCCACCTTGAGATATAAGTTCTAAGATCTCAGTATAGTTACAACGGCTGCCCCACCCTTCAAACCGAAACGCATTACTGCTTCACGGCAGAAATAGGCAGGGCGGTGGAACCTACCCGCGCGGACTCACAAGAGGTCATACCACCAGTAGGTACCTAATTACGCAAATTATAATTTTGCGGGTTTCACTTTTATTACACGATGTTATTCCTTCACCGTGAAAGTCAATCGTGAACATTTGTTTAGTACGTATTTCATTACAAAAATTGGTACCCGCCTGCGGGATTCGAACACCGGTGCATCGCTCAACACGAATGCACCGGACGTCTTATCCCTTAGGCCACGACGACTTTTCGTTTCGTCTTTCTATTTCGCATTGAACAGTATGGTGTCGCGACGATTATTTTTGTTGAGTGTATACAGGTTTTTTGTACATAATAAATAATAATAATTTTTATTACAATTCCTTCACTAATTAATCGAAAGGAACTTCGTTCCATCCGGGTGTCCCTAAGCCTTGACGCCTCTCAAGTTTTTTTATTGTTTAAAGTCTGTGGTCAAATCGAAAATAAATTAATATTGTTTGTCTTTAATATTATTATTGTTATTAATATTATTGATCCATAGTGCATTTTTGGCTTATACTGCGATTATATTATCGAATTATGCTTGACAATAGAACTATAATAATATCTAAACTTATAGTTTCAATTAATTATAGTCGTATTTTGACTACTGCGGGGCCACTAGTTAAAATAAAAGCTTAATTTAAAGAGAACACTTATTGCTGTCTTTCAATAAATTTCCTTTAGGTTTTTTTTGTTTTATTACAGAATATGGCAATATTTAGAGGAGAAAAGTTTTTTTTAGGATTTCGTACCTCAACGAAATCCATGTCGGATCACTTTGTTGTCCGTCTGTCGGTCCAATGCTTAAGACCGTTTTTGATAGGAACAAGTGGAATCATTAGTGGAAAGGGGTAAAATAAGTAAAATCAATTCGAAATTAGAACCACGTGACGTACGTAAGACTCCGAAGTCTGCGGGGGGAGGAAGTCAAATAATGTCAAGTTTCTCAGTAAACCCTAAAAAGATAAAGCTCTATTTCATAAAATCTATATAGAACATTTCTTGTCGACCTCTAAGCACGTGATTTAGCAAGAGCCAAAAGTAAATTTGTATAATACCTTTAGTAAAATATACATTTTATAATGAAACATACATTTTCAGGCAAAACATCAATGGTTGTGTTGAAAATGATTCGGATATTAACCGCAATGTTAAGGCCCGCGTCCACTAGGCTAGCCGAGCAGAGTCGAAGCGAATCTCAAAATGTCGTCTCCTACTAATTAACTTTTTTTTTGCTTAGATGGGTGGACGAGCTCAGAGCCCACCAGGTGTTAAGTGGTTATTGGAGCCCATAGACATCTACAAAGTAAATGCGCCACCAACCTTGAGATATAAGTTAAGGTCTCAAGTATAGTCACAACGGCTGCCCGTAGGTACCCATCAAACCGAAACGCATCACTGCTTCACGGCAGAAATAAGCAGGGTGGTGGTGCCTACCCGTGCGGACTCACAAGAGGTCCTACAGGTCAATCGTGAACATATGTTGAGTACGTATTTCATTAGAAAAATTGGTACCCGCTTGGGATTCGAAACTGGTGCATCGCTCAACACGAATGCACCGGACGTCTTATCCTTTAGGCAACGACGACTTTTTTATTCTACCTATCTTGATAGCCTTGGGAGGCTATTTCAGCTTTACCCTAGCGTGTAGGTGAGCTCTCGGGGCTCAAACTGGAGTGTTGCTAACACTGGCCCAAGCAAAAGCGGAGCTTCGCAGAACCTACCACCGGATCGGAAACGCGACCCACTGAGAAGATCCGGCGAGAAACTCAGTCCGCTTAGATTTACTATGAAACTGCGTCCATTAGCGCCGAGTCGCGAATCGCATCGGCGAATTTCTTCGCGATCACGATAAGTCTGTGTTTTTCATAGGATAAACGAAAATATGGAAAAATTTTTATAAGATCCCTTTTCAAATCTGGATATAAATGATGAAATTCACCATATTTTAGTTAGTTAGTTATTTCTATTCATATTAATGTCATGTACCCAATATTTGGGAGCACGCCGTTTCCGTTTTCTATTCTATTCTTCATCAAAAAATATTTGAAATAAAAACATTTTGTCCGAGCTTTCCATGACGCAAAAACAAATCGATGCGATTCTTCAGAGCTGGACGCACTAGGAATAAACGCGACTCGCTTCGATTCGACGCGTTTCTGGCGCGGAGGCGACGCCGCAAACGCACAAGTCTCTCGTCAGCAGGCGGCGGCCGCGCTACAGCCGCCAGTCCCGGGCGGGGGCCGCCTCCGACCAGGCGACGGGGCATGTTATTGAAATTACCATGTAACTACGCTAAAACGCAAAAAATAAATTAGAGGTTTATTTATTTTGTTTTAGAAAAAATACGACATTACGGTATTATAGTTCATATACGAGTAAACAGGTACAGAAATATAAAATATCACACCGCGAGCTGCTGGTAGTCGTAATGAAACACAGATTTGTTGATAAATAGTAGTTTATTAGCAAAGGGCGATCACAGTCCGCGGCGTCAGCAGCGCGGGTGCGCGGGCGGGTGTGCGGGCGGGTGTGCGGGCGGGTGCGCGGGCGGGTAGTGCGGCGCGTAGTGCGGCTCGCGCATCAGCGTGTGGTAGAGGTTGAGCGCGTCCACCAGGTCGGCGCTGAGCTGCGTGAGGCGAGCGTGGCGGCGGTCGGCTCGCTCCAGCGCCGCGTCCACGAGCGCGCCGGTGGCGGCCGCGCGCGCCTCCAGCCGCGCCAGCCGCGCGTCCTCGCCCGCCGAGCCCGCGCACGCCGGGTCCGCCTCGTGCAGCAGGGCCAGTGCCTCGTCCAGCGCCGCCTCGTCGATGCCGTCTGCCTCGTCGGCGCCGGTCGCGGCCAGCTCGGCTGGAGGCTCGTCGGCGGTGGCGGCCGGGGCGCCCACTGCCAGTTCCTCCGTCACAAAGTTGGCAGGAAACAGTCCCTCGCCGCGATCGTTGTACCCTTTCCACCAGTTCGGATCACTCGAGTCGGTCACGTGAACTGCGAACACAACTCTTCTATGAAGGATCTCTTTATTCTCAGCAACGCGCTATCTTCTTTCTAACGTAGATTCATCATATACTTTATTTGAGATTATAATACGACTAGCTGTATCCGTCCGCTTCGCTGGGCATTTAAAGTTAACAATTTTTTTTATTGCCCTTGTATGCAGACGAGCGTACGGCCCATCTGATGGTGAGTGGTTACCGTCGCCCATGGACTTCATCAATGCCAGGGGCAGAGCCAAGCCGCTGCCTACCATATTACATCTCACCCCCACAAAGATTCTCATCATTAGCACCTTTGAAACTGATGTAAGAAGTGCAACACTCATATAAATATTAGCCTATCCATTAAGTACATGTATTTTCTACATGGATACTAAATTTCAAGTCAACCAGATGCATGGTTCAGTAGTTATAACGGAACATCCATAAAAACCACTGTAGATTTAATATATTAGTATAGAAATATAGATAAATAAAATTTAATTTCCATTTAGTAATAAGCTAGCTGCTTCGCTCAGAAATAGGCAGAATAATGCCTAACCATGTAAATTTGCAACATGCTTTAGTCACGTAAGATGAGAAATAGTATGAGTCATAGAAATCATGAAGTGATTCACTAGCGGATGACAACATTCTCCGAGTAGTTATACCTGGCGAGTAGTATAGGTACACGACACACGTGGGACAGCCGATATACTTGCAGTACAATAGACCTCGACTTCCTGTCTCACTTTGTGATGTCTCATACAGGTACGCATGTACACAATTCAACAGAACTAGGTATATAGTATAAAGGACAGTACGGAATTGAAAACAGACAATTTTATAGCATGTTATACTGGTGTTCAATAGATAACGGGTATTCATAACGAGCCGTTTCTGTCAATAAATACAATTTAAGAAAAGGGGAATGCCCATTTCAGGCCCAAAGCGGACAATAGATTAGAGAAAAAATACTTAGTGCATTAATTTTGTCATAAATAAATATGCATTTACTTTCTTCCAAATAAACACCACTACAGTTTACAATAAGTAGTTTAAAAAAGTAACTCTATTGAAAAAACAAGGTATTTTATTTTTTGCGGGAAAAATATTGCCAGCATCAAAACCTTTTACGTATTAAGTAAACATTTTAAGTATATAAATAAAACATATAAATAAATCAATTTAAGTATTATTGTTAATAAGCACATAAAATAACATCAAAGACATACCCATTGGACTTTAACTTGTAACTACATATACTTGAGACCTTAGAACTTATATCTCAAGGTGGGTGGCGCATTTACGTTGTAGATGTCTGTGAGCTCCAGTAACAACTTAACACCAGGGTGGCTGTGGGCTCATCCACCTATCTAAGCAATAAAAAAAAACTTTACTAGTATTGTTATTTAAATATGTACAACTCAAACAAAAACATAAAAAATAATGTGTACTCGTAAAAAAAATATTAAGAAATAAATCAATTATCGGTTATTTAAAAAAATTATCGATATATGAATTTCATGTAATTATTTTTCTTTATACTGACAACACTGAATTTAATCTGACTGACTGACACTTCGCTTGCTGCTTGTGCTTGCGTTCAGAATGGATGTGTTCTGATTTTTCTTCGATTTATTTAACTTTTATCAATAACGTTTCATACTATGACTGAAAAACATTGTGTGAATTGTGGTTTTAACCTGACCGAGATTTAAAACCGTGTATATGCTCTCCTGTGTTATTTTTAGATGATTTACTAATTGTGTATGAAGATGAAGAAAATATAGATACCTATTTAAAGAAGTGTGTGTTTTTTTATACCCTAACAACTACAATTGGATAAAAATACATTAAGAACATCTTAAGCATTAAGAAAAGAAAAGTTCTTGAAGTATCTCACAATCCGACACTTATATAGAAAATTAACCTCAAAACGAATTTTTATTTTTATTATATTTTTTATAATCTTGGACCCAGCACACTATGGACAGTGGGCGTTCCCCTTTGTGTTATTATTCATTAAATTTGGTATAAGCGAATTCCTGATCGGTTCATTCTAAAATTAGTCGCTTCTTAGCTGCATAAGACTACACAGACAGACATGAGCTCACTGACTTCCGAACTCCTCGTTTATTGGCGTGCAACAGTGCATTAAGGCTTCTAAGGGGAAAATGGTGTCCTTTCAATCAATATTCGATAGGTCGCGCTGTGCGGAGATCCCGCCGGTTTAAATGTACTTGGAAATGTAATATGAACAAAAGCTACTTGAAAATCAATGTACATAAAATATATCAAATGACATTAAAAAAAATGATTTTATGTATGTAACAACATTACTTATTTTAACGATTTATCTTCAATGATGCTGCCATCGGAAATAAAGGAACAATACGGACGAAGGCCAGATTTGAAAGTGTGCGCACCGAATCGACTCAAGAGCAAGGGCAGTCACTTTAAAATGTTACGACAAAGGAAATCTGAAAGGTATTGGCAATATGTTAAATATATCCAAATATAAAAGTGTCGAAACGTACCAATTTCGCCAGCTAGAAAAGTAAGTTCGTTATCTTCCGCTGCTTCGAAATCGTAGAGAGCGCGCACAGGGCGCGCCGGCGCGGTCTCCACTCGCGGGTACAGCGTGGAGCCGGCGCTGGGGGCCGCCGCGGGGGTCGGGCCCGGCGCCGGCTGACTCTCTCGCAGGGACAGAGCAATGGCGCGCGCCAGCTCGTCCTGCTCGCGCTGCGCGGCCGGCGCCGGGCTCGGGGCCGCGGCCGCGGGAGCCTCAGTGGTCGGGAGGCGCGCGTGCAGCGCCGGGATGAGGTCGAGCTGCGGGTCGTCGCGAAACTCGCCCTCGGCCCACTTGCGGAGCAGGGCGCGGAGACGAGCGGCGACAGGAGGCTGCGCGCGAGACAGCAGGCGCCGGAACTCGGTCTCGAAGTCTCGCGAGGCGACTTCCAGGTGGAAGAAACGACCACAATTTGCAACGCAGGCGTCGAGCAGTGTGGCGGCGTGAACCTGTACGTGTGGGTCGGGATGCGCCAAGCGCCGCATGACGGCACGGAGACACTCCTTCGCACTGGTAGAAGATGCACCGGCGCGATCACATATCTCCATGATCAGTCCCCACTCCTCGCTGGTGTTATTTTCACTCGTTGCGCGTTCTGTTCGGATCAAATGACACAGTTATATCCACAGTTATACACACATTCTGCATATCGAGGAATGAAAGGCTGTTTGGTTTAAGCGACATTTTTGCAACTTTACACGAGAGCCATTTAAAGTACAAAATTTGGAAAAAATACCATAAGAAAATAACTTCTTGAGCTCTTTTAATGGAGTAAACTAAATTGAAGTTCAATTAAAAACATCTACTGTTGATGCATAACATCAAAACATAAAAATCATCAAACACACAAATCATAACATAAAAAAAATCTTTAATCAAGACATCAAATCAGAAAAGTATGGATTACTCTGACAAAATTAAATATATATGTCGGCGAAACCTTACTATTTGGAATACTGCTTAAAGAGAAGAACAGAAGTAGACTTATCATTCTACCGATGAAGATTCAAAAAGAAATTATAAGAATTAATCATGGGAGAGGACGACGAAAAGTTGAAGAAAGGAGACTGGTGAAGATCAACAAAGAAAATGTGTGAAGTTGTAATAAGAGTAGAAAAGAAGCTAAACTATACAAAATTGGAGATTTGATTGTTATTAATAAGATACAATTTAGTCAAGGGAACAAGCTTCACTCTAAATATCTTGGTCCTTATGAAATCGAAAGCGGAAAAGCGAAATGACAAATACATCTTAAGGAAGATTGGGAACACAAAGGCCCGATAAATAGGTATTGTTTTTTTTTGTAATTTAAGTTTTATTTATTTTACAAAGTTGCATCAAAAAATTCTTAGAGGCCATATTTATAATTGAAACCTCATGACCTCATGTTTATGGGCTCTGGCAATCCTTTAACACCACTGTCCACCACAATGAGTTTGTGTATTCATCCATAAAAAAAAAGGAACCATCAATTATTGCTTGAGCATTGTCAATTGTTGGTGTTATTCAGTAGATTTAGTGTGTTTATTTATTGAGTACTTTAAAAAAACACATTGCTATAATGTCTAGAGGATTTTATTTCCCACACAGTACAATAATATCAGATTTACGCCATTGTTTTTTTTGGTACACATTCTGCATCTAACATACAATTAAAAAGTTTTTCGTACACAGTGAAGAACAAGAGTTGCTCTTAGTTGAGTACTTTGTTGCCAATGGACTACATTAATATTTAAAACGAGATGGACTGTGAACGGACCTGCCCATCATCAATAATAAATTAAAAAAACGAATAACTACTATATAGCTACTATAACTATATACATATATATAATACTATATAACTACTATATACTTGATAGCATTAATAGAAAGAAAAAAAAAATGTTATAGTTTATTTTAGTATTTGGATTTTATCATATTATCTATACCTAGTCTTGCCATAAATACTGAGACAAAGGAAAAAAAATTCTAATGCAAATAACATTTATTACTTTTACAGTGTGTTAGTTTAATACATAAATGTAAAACAATTTAAAGTATAAAAAGCTTATTCGAAGTGGTCTCCATTGTCTGCAATACAGTCCTTTAAACGTTGAGGCCAGTTATCAATAGAAGCATGCACTCTTTCCTTGGGAAAAATTTTCACTGCCATCGTACGGATTGTTTTAGGGACTCCAAATTATCATGGCGTTTAGAGCAAGCCGTACTCTCTAAAACTGACCATAAATCATAATCCAGCGGATTAAGATCGGGACTAGACGACGGCCAGTCTTCAGCTCTGATGAAGTCCGAAACTTTCGTTTCCAACCAAGACTACGTAGACCGAGCTTTATGACCTGGCGCCGAGTCTTGCTGGAAGGACCATTTTTGATTATTGAACATGGTGTTGTTAAGGGGCTTCACTACCTTCTCAAGAATGGTATCTTGATACACTTGTGCCGATGTTTTGATACCTTTTTCACAAAAGTATGGCTCAGTCACTCCTTCATAGCTAATACCCCACCAAACCATCACTGAAGTTGGATAGTGCCCACGTTGCACTCTGTCGACTAATTGGGAAGCTTCCTTAGAGCTTTGAGCAGAAATACGGTCATTTTGTTTGTTAAAATGTTGTCAATTGTAAAAAGATTCTCATCCTTAAACAAAATTTGTCTAAGACCTCCCTTTGCATACCGCTTCAGTAGTTGTTTCGATTTTACCACCCTATTCACTTTTAAATTATCAGTTAAGAAATGACCAGTACGTCTCTTATAGGCTGCAAGTCTAAGTCATCTTTTAAAATACGCGACACGGTTCTCCCGAGATAAAATCTTTTGCTTTCGGACAGGATTTCTTCGAATTCTTTCTCTTACTGCTTTGACCACCTTTTTCGTACGAACACTACGTGGACGGCCAGATCTTTTTCTGTCACAAACAGAGGAGGTCTCATTGCACCTATTAATAGCCCGGTACACAAACATTTTACTAATACCAAGCGTATGGAGAGTTTTCAAAATTGCATTTGGTTCCATACCTACTTTATGTAATGCAATCACAGCGATTCGGTTCTCTTTATCACCCCACTCCATTTTATTATCGCAAAATATTGTACAATGTAATGGCACCAAAATGAGAAAACACAATGAGCAATCATATAAAAATGACAGATTCCAAATTCAAATGTAATATTTTGTTTATTTTTAATTGTAACAGTATTTATGGCCAGACTAAGTATATATAAAAATGAATTGCTGTTCGTTAGTCTCGCTAAAACTCGAGAACGGCTGGACCGATTTGGGTAATTTGGGTCTTGAATTATTTGTGCAAGTCCAGAGAAGGTCTAAAAAGCAGATAAATATGAAAATGCTCAAAATTAAATAAAAATAACAATTTTGTTTTTCCTTTGATGTGTCCGCCGTTGGACAGATTCCTTGTGTTTGTTTTAAGTTTATTTTATACAAAAGCTTAGGTATTTTATTTATCGATGGAGCCACTGCGAAGTCTGCCGGGTCAGCTAGTCTTGTTAATAAAATGATTGAAGACAGGTCTTGGCAGAGTTTAGTTTAGAGACTGTTAATTGATTACCAGTTTGACGGATTATAATAAAGGGTAGATCCTCCACTGAGTGGGTGAAATTGCTCAGTAGACTGACAGTCCAAATGTAATTGTTCATAAGTTGTTTATATGCAAGCTTTTCTTGAAAACGTCACAAGTAAGATTTAGGCATCTGTCAAATATCTTGTGTTCTGTGATGGTACCTGCCACACCACCTTATTATTTGTGTCCTCAATATGTAAAAGTATTTTGTTTAAAATACTCATTTTATATTGATTTAATATTATATATTATAATATATATTATATAATTTGTAAATTGAACAGGGGTTTAGGTCCGGGTGGTATGTTGACGAATGTATGGAATGTTAAGGCTAGTTTAGAGTTTTGATAAAAAAGAAAGAAAACTCTGCTTAACTAATGGAGACTTTAAATAACTTTGGTAAGAAATATGAGGTTATTATATAAGAACAAGTCATATTGAATAAGTCCCGCAAAATTATAATTTGCGTAATTACTGGTGGTACGACCTCCTGTGAGTCCGCACGGGTGGGTACCACCACCCTGCCTATTTCTGCCGTGAAGCAGTAATGCATTTCAGTTTGAAGGGTGGGGTAGCTGTTGTGACTATACTGAGACCTTAGAACTTATATCTCATTTGCGGTGGCGCATTTACGTTGTAAATGTCTATGAGCTCCAGTAACCACTTAATACCAGGTGGCCTGTGAGCACGTCCACCCATCTATGCAATAAAAAAATAAATAAAAGTTCTTGCAATAATGACGGCATGACTGCACACATTTCTATTTTACAAACTATTGTGATGATTTCTTTTGACAAATTTACGAAACGACACAAAGCAACGCTTAGTCCGTCACTCGAGATAACAAAAGAAATTTCGTTCTCATGACGCAGACTCATGTCAAATATGTATATAATATCCAAATTGTTGTTGTACAATCTATAAAATGCAATGAATAGAAAAGATTATTTTTTAAGTTACATTACAAAATTACTTACCAACATCTTGATCAAAAGGCGAGGAAGTGCCAAATATCCCCATTTTGTTAACAAAAAAACATCTACTTGATTATATGTTATTGATAAAAATATTAAATAGTTTTTAATACTAAAGTCGGAATGAAATAGAATACTTCAAACAAAAATTTCTTGTTTTATGAAAAATTTGAGAAACAAGAACACTGATTACATTATTTCTTACGAAGGTTATTTCTTATACGAAGGTCTTTATTATTTACCGTATATTTACAGTACGTATCTCAATATTATGGGGTATTTTTTTAATATTGTGTATTTTCTGAAATACGCAATCAAACAATTACATTAAATTTTAGTAGGTAGGTAATGACAGCAGTCAGAAGATATTTTTTTGTATATTATGACCTGGTAACTAGGACCTTTAGGTCATGTCTTATTTTAATGTATATTCTTATTTTTATGAAAAATGTTATTTTAGGAGTGAAATTAAATGAAATGAGATGAGATGATAAGGGATGAAATATAACCTCAGTAAAATAGTGGTCATTTACTGAAATTTTTTCAGTGGACTTTTTGGAAGATCCCGAAAAGTTACGTCCAACGGCTTTGTTTAATTTTCCCACATTTGTGCACTTTCACAGATATTAAACAGTTAATAAACCAACCGTTATTACACATTAAAATCTGAAGAAACACTAAATAGACAAAATAAAACAAATCACACAACTTCACTCCTCGCGTTCCCGCCAAAAAGTCAATGACAAATGTAAAATGATTAAATTGTAAAATGTTTACAGCAAAATTATTCACAAAATTTAGAACTTGAGAAGTTTATTAAACAAGATAAGAGATAAAATAGAGCTTGCATCACTCCATGTGATGCAGTCTATGGTCCATATATACAGTGATTATGTTTTATAAACAATTTCCTTTTACAAAGATTAATAAAAATCCATTTACATAATTGACCGGGAAATCCAAGTTCAATTAGAACTTTCACTAATGTGGACAGATCTACATTATCAAACGTACCCTGAACATCTAATAAATAATAGTTTAAAAATTAACAAAATACGCTTTTATAGAAAATCCAGCTAAAAAATTGAATATAAATTTTAATGAATTTGAAAGTGTATTTTGTTAGTTTTTTAAACTATTATTTATTTTTCCTTTTTTTGTTGAAGTTCAATTTTTCCTTTTTTTTCAATTTTTTTTTAATGCTGAATTGTCATCGTTCCATGATAAGTACCTAAAACGGGGTGATTAGGGATTGAGAGGTGAATGGGGAAAAAACCAGGAAATCTTTCGACGCTCAATAGTTCTAGATTCGTTGCAAAATCTTCAATTTTTTGTAGTTTAATAGTAGAATATTGAAAGTTCACAAAACAACTCTGAATACGCATGTTAATAGCTGCTAACTTTAAAAAAATCGCATTTCAAATTCTTGTGGTGGCAATTAATTTAGTGCTAGAAACTTTTAGTACAGGATCCCTGGTACACTTTTCATCATTTATTACTAACAAGCTGATTTTTCGTGAGTAGCTTCCTCTTGACTAGACGCCCAACTTTTTTCCTTACAGTAACTTACAGTAATTTTTCATGACCTTGTTTATGATACATGTAAGAGAGGGGGGATTCACGAAAATGATAGGAATGGAAAGAATCGGTCTAAGTAACGTTTGAGATATTGGTAGGCACGAACCGGATTGTGCCGGTTTTTTCAATGTTATATTTTGTCAGAAATGTAGTACCTACCTACTTGTAAGAAAATTATTTGCCGTTAGTAACTCATTAAAAACAACAGCCACTTTATTCGCATTTACTCTATGCATAGTAGTGATTCCCTTTATTTCTCTTTGAAATATATTATTCAAGAATACTGGGCTCTTGTTGCCCAGTCTCTCATTCGCATCTCTCGATTCTACGAACACCTTATAAGCTGAAAACCTATTTATTGCATTGTCCGGATATAGTACATTGTGCACCAAAGAGTAGGACATCAGCTCATCCCGCGTGTAAAATTGCCGCAAACACGAAATGGGGAAATGTCCAACTTTTCTGCCGAGGTGCACATATAATTTTTTTCTCTTACCAGGCCGAAAGTTCGTGGAGTAACGAGCCGGGGTCGGCATATTTGTTTAATACTTTAGTTTTTTTTTTTTTTTTTGTAATAAGGAGTATCGTCATTCACCTCATCACTATCCCCGCGGCTGGTATCAGCACGTCTTTTTTGTCTTTTTCGTTTACTGTTGGAACCGCTATCAGAGGGGCACGAAACCCCCGGAGGATCGTCCGGCTCCATGTTGGTTTAGGTTTAGGTTTAGGTTTAGGTTTAGGTTTAGGTTTAGGTTTAGGTTTAGGTTTAGGTTTAGGTTTAGGGTTAGGTTTAGGTTTAGGTTTAGGTTAGGTTAGGTTTTTTTTTTTTTTTTTTTTTTTTTTTTTTTTTTTTTTTTTTTTTTTTTTTTTTTTTTTTTTTTTTTTTTTTTTTTTTTTTTTTTTTTTTTTTTTTTTT